GCCCCCCCCCTTTTTGGACATTTCTGAATCCGCCCCTGCTAACCATAACATCCACAACGATTGCCTCCTGGACTATTACATTCAACAATATACATCGCCACCTTTCCTCACTCATTCAACACCGTGCGGAGCACGGGTATATATGCTTGTTGTTGTTTTTGCTGCTGTTGTTGTTTTTGCTGCTGTTGTTGTTGTTTTTGTTGTTGTTTTTGCTTCTGTTGTTGTTTTTGCTGCTGCTGCTGCTTTGCTTTGCCCAAGTATAGACTATACATCAAGAATGTGCCTCCTAATATTTAGTAAAAATTCAGAGTGAGGTGTGGTTGTGAAGATTAATTAAATGGATTTAAGACAAACATCCAACACCAGATATTTCACTTATCTGAATGAAAATTTCGAGAAAGTTTACCCAAGTTACATGGAAAGGTTAATTAAATGTTAGTGACGATCAAGTTTTAACTGTGGATTGGAGGGTCATTTAAAGTTCCAACGTCCTATACCTAAATATCTCCAAAATCTTATCAATAGATCTAAATGAAACTTTCTGTAATAGTTTGTCATTATCCAATAAAGAAATGATTGGATGTTGGTGAAGATCCGGAGTAGGGTGTGGAATATGAGGACAATTCAAAGGAAAACGCCCAAGACCCGATATCTCAAAATCTAATAAACTGGTCTGAACAAAATGTTCTGGTCCTTTAGGCTGCTAAAGTCCCAGACCTAAATGGATCCATTCGATATCACCATTAATAATGTTATCGGTGAAAAAGATGCCTACTTGTATCAGATAACAATGATGCATGTAATTATAAATTGATTGATATCTGCAACTTTAAACATGTTGTCAATAATTATCCATTTAGTGTATTTCACCTAAATTCCCGTAGTTTAGAATTTAGTTTAAAATAACGCCACCACCATTTTTTTCTTTTTATGAGATTCCGGGCTATTATTACCTGCTACATAAATCAAGAACTGGAAGGACGTGGGAAGCGTTGCCATACTATCTAGACCATAGACTTCAATATATTATCCGCTCTGATCTATCTTCCCTAATATCTACCAATTCTGAATCTATTTGCCTTGAAATAGTTGGCCAGCATAAAAACACTATCCTTGGAGTCATTTATCGTTTACCGGAACTACCTATAACTGCTTTTAATTCAAACATGTCTATATTACTTGATATCATTAACAAAGAAAACAAAACTACTTACCTTCCGGGTGATATTATTATTAATTTACTTAATTCCAATACACATAATGGTACCTGATTTTATTAATACTTTATTTTAATCCAATTTTTATCCGCTATGTAGTGCCTCTGAACTGGTGATTGGTTGCCCATTACGTCACCTCTACGTAGCAGCCAATCACCAGGGATTGTAAGTGCAGCCAATCGGGACTAGCCGCGTAGTGACGTCGTCTATACGCTGCGGCTAGTCCGGGGGGGGGGGGTTCAAATCCCTCGTCAATTGAAGTTGAAGCCAAGAACCAGAACATACTATACTATTACTATACTTACAAGACGTTGAAACCTACGAGTACGAGACGGTATCATAGGGAGCCTAAGGTAAGATGCCTTTAATAATAATAATAATAAGATTTATAAAGCGCACAGATCCACTGCAGTAGTGCTCAAGGCGCTACAGGAAGGAATAAAAAATTACCATGAACCTAAAGCTACAAGAAAAGAAACACCACACCATCACCGCACCGTTTAAAGGCAATTTAAGGCACAGGACCCGCCTATTCATTACTCACAGGTGCTCAAGTAACGGGAGTATCTAACTAAAACAATTAAGCAAGCAAGCAAAACAAACCGAAGAACTAAGAAAAAGCAGCCGACAGCAGATGCGTCTTGAGAGCTTTTTTGAACAAAGCAGTAGACTGACACGAGCGAATATTTATTGGCAGTTTATTCCAAAGGCGTGGAGCCGCAAAGCAAATGATCGATCACCCCATGAACGTGTAGATCTAGGCTCAACAAGCAGAAGTTTGTCAGTACAAGAGTGGAGAGTTCGCGATGGCACGTACCATACAAGCAGTTCACGAAGATACCCAGGACCTTCATCTCTCAGAGTCTTAAATGTAATGAGCAAAATCTTGAAAATGCTCCTGAAAGAAACAGGTAGCCAATGAAGTTCTTGTAGAATCGGTGTGATGTGCTCAAATTTCTTTGTTCCTGTAATGATCCTAGCAGATGTATTCTGCAACAGTTGGAGGCGGTGCATGGATCTCTTAGAAATACCAAAAAAGAGAGAATTCCCCCAAAGTCAAGATATGAAGTAACGAATGCATGAATCAGTTGTGCTGTTGCTTTCCTAGAGAGATACTTCCTAATCCTACTTATATTGCGCAAGTGATATGTTGAGGAGCTAGTAATTTTAGAAATATGCCTATTCAAGGTCATTGAAGAATCAAGTGTAATACCCAAATTCTTAACTTGAGGTACCTGATCGATCTGACATTCACCAATGTTGAAGTGGAGGTCTTGGCATTTCTTCCTTTGTTGAGGTGAACCGAAGATGATGAATTCAGTCTTGTCCTTATTTAGTTGCAGAAAGTTTTCAGACATCTAGGTCTTCAACTCAAAAATACAATTTTTGAGAGATTGTACATTTACATCAAGGTTTGAAGGAAATATAGATCTGTGTATCATCAGCATAAATATGGTAAGACAAGTTGAACTTTGATACAATTTCACGAATTGGTAGCATGTAGATTGTGAACCACTGAGGTCCCAAAATTGACCCTTGAGGAACGGATTAGTCAAGACAGAAAAAGTCAGACACGGAGTTCCCAACACCAACACCAACACCTCCTTACAGCGTCTCCTTGTAGACCTTAAATAATGCTTGAGGCGATCTAAAAGTAATGTGTGATCAACGGTATCAAATGCAGCGCTAAAATCCAATAAAATGAGTGCAGTGAGTCGTCCTTTATCTATCTCTTGGAGAATATCATTAGAGACACGAAGTAGTGCAGTCTCAACGCTGTGGTGTGGCTGGTATGCAAACTGAAAAGGATCAAGTAAATTGTATGCATTAATATGATGAGCGAGACGTCTGGAAACAAGGCGTTCAATCGTCTTTCCAAGGAACTTCAAGTTTTATACTGGTCTGAATTCCTCACGATCTAAGCAAGGCTTCTTTAGAGGTCTGATATGACACATCTTCAGAGCATCGGAAAAATTTCCCTCTTCCAGACTTCTATTGACAATTAATGTGATAGATGGTAAAACAACATGAAGACACCTCTTTAACAGAGTAGTAGGGTTGAGATCAAGGTCAGATGGTGATTTGCATGGTGAACTGCTAATAATTGATCTAATTTCATCTTCATCAGCAAGCTTTAATTCCGACAAAGGGAGTCTATTTGCAGGAGCATCAACCGATCCTAAAGCAACTTCATGGGGGTTGTCATTAACAGTCAATCACGGATAAATTGAATCTTATTGACGAAAAAGTCAGCAAAACTGACAGCAAGAGCTTTGTCGGAGTCATGGGTTGGCAATACAGGTGTGGTTCTTTTCTGCATTAGCTCGTCAAGAACTGCAAATAGTTTCTTTTGATCACCACTAGAGTCCGCAATCTTAGTAGAATAGTAAGCAACCTTTGCCTCTTCAATCAAAGTGTTAACAACACGCCTTTGCCTACAGTAGTTTTCTCTGTCGATACTACGTCGACTACGGAACCATTTACGTTCAAGCTGACGTCGTCTTTTCCGTTCAGTTCTCAATTCCTGAGAAAACCATGGACTACTGGACCGGAATTTAACCTTCTTAGTCTTAAAAGGAGCATGGCGTCAATAGCAGACTGAAGAACTTTCTCAAAAGTATCAACACATCGATCAAGCGTGAGGCTTCCATCCTCTATAACTGCCAATCCAGACTTAATCTCATCGTAAAAATCAGTCATATTTATAGCTTTGATATTACGTCGCTTAATTAATATGGTTGGAAGAGGAGGTTTCTTCCAACCATCTTAATTAAGATAGTTGGAAGAGGAGGTTTCTTGAGGTTTAGCTTGCAAAAGATTGCATAATGGTCAGAGAGACCAGGGTGCAACCAGAGCTCAGTTATACCATTAAAGTCAGCACGGGTGATAATAAGATCAAGCCAATGACCAGCCGTATGTGTAAGATCAGAAACATGCTGACACAGACTAAAAGAAGCAAGTATGTCAAGAAAAAATTGAATCGTAATAGGATTATTCAAATCATCCACATGGATGTTGAAATCACCACAGATAATTAGGTCAGAAGAAGAAAGCAAAACTTCAGTCAACATTAGCTGAAAATCATCGAAAAAAATAAGAGTATGATGAACCAGGAGGACGATAAATATTAACAATGTGCATGCAATGAAAGCCAGATTTAACTGTTGCATGAATTGCCTCAAATGAGTTGAAATTGATGGATGACTTCACCAATTTGAAAGTGAAAGATGATTGGTGTAGAATTCCAACACCACCTCCTTCTTTTTCTAATCTTGGAACGTTGTTAAATGTAAATCCAGTTGGAGTGAGTTCACCAACAGCAATGGCATCACCTGGTTTGATCCATGTTTCAGTGACTGCAACAAGATAAAGCTTATTTGAGGTAGCAAAATCAGCAAATTCATCACTCTTGCTTTTGACAACATCTTGAGTCAATCTATCTTCAGGAGAAAATGAGTAATTACTAACATTATGGGAAACATGACGTCTAAAAATATGCTTACCGCCTCGACGACCCCTTTTGTGCTTTTTTTCTCAAAATATTATTAGAATTTAAACTCTCAAAAACAGAGAAATGGAGATGGATATCGTTCACCTGTAACTGGTCAAGATGCTTCCTACGTAAATGTATGACTGCTTACCAACAAGAAAATCAGCAACTGATCTGTAAGCCAGCCCATCAGTGGAATAGGAGACTACGTCATCAGGTAAAGTCTTCATGTCCAATGATTGCTAGGAACAAAGAATTAAACACCAAAACAGCTAGGCCTAAGCAAGGCAAAGCAACAACAGCAGTCAGGAGTGCCTGACAAAGGCAGAGCATGAAGTAAACAAAAGGCTAAGAACAATAGACACTGAGCCTAGCTCACAGAGTGAAACATATCTGTCTTATAAAGCCAAAAATCACAATAAATCAATCACAGCTCAACAGGAACAATGTAAATATATTATTCAACACAATCCAGCAGAAAAATGAGGAAAAAGAAAAATAAACACTGTTCAATGCGACAGCTAGTACAGCGCCTAGCACAGGCAGGATGTACAAAAAAATGCAATCTACCTCATCTTGTGGGTCGTACGTCTAACATGGTAACTTACCATAAAGAGAACTAACACTTTTCTCTTTAATGGCGACGAGGTAAATTTGGAGAAGTTTTGGTAGTTCGACTGACCGAGCCTCCAGCCTTCGAGCGTGCGATGTTTTTGCCACTCGCTCCTCGCTGAGTTCATTGGGCTTGCGGGTAAAAACTGAGGACTTTTGTACTTCAGTTTTCCCCAAAAGTTCAGCGGATAAGTTTTAGACGATTAAGGATTAAAACTAGCGAACTTTCTGTCAGTTAATTAGACTGGTAAAAGCGCTAGCTCTAGCCTTGAAATCGGATATGTGGTTGTTGTCGCAGGTTGTTTACCGCGGTGACAGCCATGTTTCGGTGATCGTCGTATTCATTCAATTCAATAACAGAGACTCACTCTTGGGTGGGGTTTCCTTGTTGGGTTGAATGAGTGCATGTTTTTTCACCGTCTTGGATTTATAACCTAGCAAGATATTATATTATCCATGCTCGTGATATGGATGCGTTTTGTATACTAACGCACTGGGCTCGTGATTCCAGAACGGTAACACAGTATGCCCGTGTTTATGTTGGTTATCGGAAAATATACGACCTTAATTTATATTAGTATTTCATGATTTGTAGGAATAGGATAGGTTTAGTTAGGATTATTATATTATGGTTCAACTCATTATTATTTAGCGTCAGCGCTTGAAGACGGTAGCGTTGCTACGTATTTTTCAGTTATTTATTGACTTATTCTGACCGCTATTTCTTATGCATGCACGAATTGGCCTGGATTCCATCTGACTGGGCTGCATTGTTCATTGGGTGGAATTCAAGGTTGATTTAGTGTCGTTTTTGCCTGTTTTGTAATGTTATCTGTGTCTGGTGTGTGTGGTTTCGAGTTTTGGAAAATCTGTGATTGTTTATCGGGATTTTCATCGCTTTGAATTATGTCGCCATTCATGGAACAGCAAAGCAGACAACTTTGATCGAATCATGTCATCAGCGTTTCACGTGATTATTTAGATGTCACTGCGTAAGGCAATCAGTGTAGCGTTTTAGCTTTATTGCCGTATTCGATTTGATGACGAAGGTAAGTACTGTTTTCTGATTCGTTAGTAAGATATCCCATAGCTATTTTAGTTACGGTTGCCGATCTAATTTTAGATACGGTTGCTGAAATAGTTTAGGGGCTTGCTGGAGAGTATGGCTCCCAGCCAAGTTTCCTACTGTTATAGGATAGTTAGAACGTACGGACGTTTGTCGCGTACAATTTTCTTTTTGGTTTAGGCTAGGCCTAAAATTTGAGGGTAATGTTTTACAGTAGATGCTGCTGTATTCATTACACATTTTTAGGCATTTTATTTATTAGGCTTATATTCCGTTAATTATATACTGTTGTATATTACTGTATTTGTTATTTATTTATTATTAGGCATGAATTTTATTAGTAGATTGTTAGGCTTATTTATTTTATTTTCAACGTAGGCTGTTAGGCGTATATTATTATTTTTCATGGTAACATATTAGATTAGTATTTGTTTTGTCTTGTATGTCTTTGATTCTTTCAAATAAAATATTTTCCGTGTGGTCTCATTTATTTTTAACGATGTATTAATGTCTTGTATATTCTATTTCCTTAATAAAAGTATAAATTCTATGATATTGTATTATATATATTATATTATTTATGATCAATGTTCAATAACAATGGGTTGGTAGTAAGTTATAATGGAAGAATTTATATCATGTGATAGTACTGATTTTGAATATTCTTGTGATAGGGGAGACCTAGTTAAATATCCCAAGCTTCGCTAGCGCTTTGTCAGTGTGTGTGTGTGTGTGTGTAGTTGGGTGTCTGTTGGCGGATGTTGTTGGGGGGGGGGGTGACTGGGTGCTCCTATCATGGGGATATTCTAGAGGGCGTCCCTATTTTTATCTCCTCATATGGCATCAAATGATATAGATGGAGGGAAGGAGGTTATCCGGGTTAATTTCGTGAGAAGAGCGAGGGAATTTCCGGAGGGATTTAAAGCTGAGTGGATGGACGCTCTTTTCGACTATCGCGACAACCATGGGAATATAAGCTCTGTCGAGGAGTTAGAGAAAGCTATCGGGGATGACAGCTGTGAGTTGTCAGTCTTCGAAATAGATTATACTCAAAACTCCCGGTATTGCCAGGGGGTGGGTCTATTGCATAACGTAACTGCTCCAGGCGTCAGACAATGTGGGCCAGGGGTTTTACTTGTGATTACCCTACCTATAATTCCCAATACCCTAACCATTTTGAACGGGATAAGGGGCAGGGGCTATTGCCTTATTGGCGTTGGGCCCAGTTAGTTAATAATATGATATCAAAAAATTCTATAACTGACTGAAGGTTTGGCGATTTCCTTATTGATGTCGGGGCCCAGTTAGTTATTATATTCATCAGAAATTACTTATTAGTACTGAGGGGCGCATCCTATGTTATTTCTTAGTTTGTACTGCATCCTACAAATTGTGGGGTAAAATTATACCATCACACCCAAAATTATAGGTCCAATTATGTCCTCTCGCTGTAGTATGGACCCTAAGTCCTTTATTTTTCCATCTTTAAAAAAATTTAGTGTTTAAAATCCAAGAACGGAATTGGGGTTCATGTAATTTTCAGGGTGGTAATTTAGGATAAGTAGCCCCAGTACTTTCCCTCTAGTCATCAGAGTGCAGTCCTTGTGCTTGGTTTTGGGCTTATTAGCAACATCGCTGTTTGCGCTTGCCAAGCATAGTAGCGGCTGCCTCTGTGGAAAAAAATTTCTTGTGTTACATCAATTGGCATTTTTTAGGCTTATTTAAAAGTTTTCTTAAATTTTCAAAGTTCTTGGTGTTTCGTATTTCTAATTTAAAAAAAAAAATAATATTGTGAGGATGAGTAGCTGTTAAGGAGCTATCGTGTATCTTCCAGCTGTTTATTCCAGTCTCCCTGTTAAGGAGCTAGCATGTATCTTCCAGCTGTTCTGTTCCTGTCTGCCTCTTAAGGAGCTATCGTGTATCTTCCAGTTGTTATATTCCAGTCCCCAAGAAGAAAAAATTAAAGAAAACCGGGAACAATGTAGTGCCGCTGAACTGATGATTGGTTGCCCACTACTAGCCGCGTAGTGACGTCGTCTATACGCTGCGGCTAGTCCCGGGGGCCGGGGGAGGGTTCGAATTCCTCGTCAGTTGAAGTTGAAGCTAAGAACCAGAACATACTATACTATTACTATACTTACAAGACGTTGAAACCTACGAGTACGAGATGGTACCATAGGGAGCCTAAGGTAAGATGCCTTTCTGTGCAACCTACCTCATCTTGTGGGTCGTACGTCTAACATGGTAACTTACCCTAAAGAGAATTAACACTTTTCTCTTTAGTTAATTACCAGACCTACGAGAATTACCACGAGTTCAGCTACAATATTTTCTCCAATAACATCTCTGACAAAATATCTCCAGGAATTTTTACTCCGATATTTCAGATCATTATCTTTAACACATTCAGCTGATTCAGTCCCATCTATAAATAACAACCTGAAGTATGTTCGCTTAAAAAAAATCTGATCCCAATTCCATATCTGCATTTATTGATGACATATGGAATGAAGACTGTTCATAACAATCGAATGTCCATATAACCATGGAAATGGCGCAATCGTGTCCACAATGAAGCTAATACATTGATCTTTCAAGAAATACCAAACATAATATTTTCTAAAAAAAGTTTCGAATTTAATGAAACATTTACATCAGCTTTAAAAGTATGGTATATTTCAACTTGAATTTCCATAAATTGGATAAAACTCGATAATTCTAATTTTAACAGATATTATTCAGGGGATGATGGAGGATTATAATAAACTAAGCCACTTTAGGGTTAACGAGGGTTAACTATTCGAAAATTCAATCCAAAATCAGAGTAATTTTCAGTTTTATGGTGCCTTACCTTTATAGTTGAACCAATAAATCTTTAGACAAAATTGTAATGAACACATAAGTAATTTTAACAAATATTTTACGGAATTTGTTCCTGAAACATACAAATAATAACATACTAAACGTCCGAAAACAATCCAATCAGCGGAACATTGTTTATTATAAAGATATTTAATGGGTTAAAATCAAACGCTTTATTGCACAACTTCTGCTTAAGCGTATAAATGCATGTCGTTGCCAAGTTGTTGCTAACGAAAAAATGTGAATTATAGGGTAATACGCCCGCGCGCGATCCAAAGGCGGGGAACACCCATAGAGATATAATAAGAATACTAGAGCACTAACTGCAATGTATTCGATGTTCGAAATACGCAGAGCTGTGTGTGTGTACCATCCAATATGGCTGCCATAGATTCAACCAATCAAATTTCGCCTAAGCGGCGTCGTTTGCAATTGCTCCCTCAATTTACACAGAAAGTTCAGTACATCTAGTTACTCGTATGTTTGAAACTCGAGCGTTGCGGTGTACGGGTGTAATGTACACGATTTTAATTTTCATTCCTTGGTACTTTATTTTTGAATATGATGCTCCACTTGGCCTCGTTTTGGCTACGATAGTTTAATAATTTTTTATTACCATTACTCATTATCATTAATGAAATAATAGTCAGTCAGAGGGCTTATTTATGGTAATAATATGTATACTAAGCCTGAAGGTGCACTCAGCACTCTAGTTGTTTAATAGCTCTATGGGAACACCTTGGTTTGTCGCGTCAAAGGGATCTGTTGCCGAGTGATCGCCTTCTAAATAATACCTCCATGATATAACAATAGAAATCATGCTTACTCTAATTTTCATTGATAAGTTGACTGCTTTATATAATCGTTACATCAAAACTAATCGTACCAAACGTAATTTTCGTAAAGAACATAAATCATGGATCACAAGTGGCTTTATCAAATCAATTGATACTAGAAATAAGCTATATATAAAGTACCTTAAATCCGGAAAACAAAAGATAAGAATTATATATGAATCATAGAAATAAACTTACCAGCTTGCTTCTTTGTAGTATAATACTATACTGATAAATATAATCTCTATAAAAATAACATAACAACTTGGCAGACTATTAATCTTGCCCTTGGAAAAAATTCAAGAAAACCTACGCCTTCACACTTTTTCTACAATAAAAATAAAATTTCTGAACCTCAATATTTTATAGCATCAACATTTAAAGAATATTGTACCAGCAAAGTCCCAAGACTTGCTGATAGTATTAAAATACTTGACATTGATATTAACTTTACTTTTTTCTTCCGGAGCCGCTTAAAGAATATATATATATTTTTTTTATTATTAATCTAGTATAACGGAAAATGAAGTTGCAAACATTATTTTAAAAATTCAACGAGAAGAAATGTCCTAGGATTGATGGGCTTTCTAATAAAATAATAAGGCCTATTTTTTATTTATATGTAAATTGCTAACACATTATTTCAACATTTCTTTCCTAATTGGTATTTTCCAAATCCTTTGAAATTAGCCAACGTTATCACAATTTACAAGAACGAGAACCCACATTAACAAAAACAATAAAAAAAAAAACATTACAGACCCATTTCTTTTCATCCATGCTTCTCCAAAATATTTAAAAGATTGATCTATAACAGACTTCATAATTTTTTTTACAAAGCATAATATTTTGGATTTAGGAAATTATACTCAATTGATCTTGCTTTACTGGATATTTATAACAAAATTACAAATGCACTCAGCCAAAAAAAAAGTTACAATTGAAATCTTCCTTTATTTATCGAATGCTTTTGATACCATAAATCATGATATTCTTATTCGTAAACTTGAAAATTGTGGTATCAGAGGCCTTCCATCCTAGGTCCTCTTTTGTTCTTAATTTTTGTTAACGATATACCAAATTCTTCTAAATTACTAATTTTAAACTCTTTTCCGATGACACAAATATATTTTTCTCGCACACAAATAAAAATGCCTTATTTAAAATAATGAATTATGAATTGACAATTGTTTCAAATTGGCTAAAGATAATACATTATCTCTTAATTATTTTTAAAACAAATTATATTATATTTCTCATTGCAAATTTATAATAATTTATTCAGAGAATCAAACAATTTTGATTAATAAACATGAAATTAAATGGGATGGAGAAACGAAATTTCTTGGCATTACCACTGACGCTAAGCTAGCATGGAAGCAACATATTAATATAATTTGCAATACCATTTCCAGAAATATTAGCATTATTTATTTATTTATTCTGGTTTATTATTAAAACATTTTGATTTTGCAGCACAGGCTGAATTGCCTAAAAAATTTACATCGGTAAAACAATACAATAGGAAAAAGGAAACACAAAAATGACAATTAACGATCAGAAAACAACCCAACATCAATTAAGGTGGAACCACTTAATGAATAAATTAAAATATACTTTCCATTATTATACCTGTTTATTTTTCAGTTTTTGTATTTTATTTTTATTTTAATGGTGGCCACATCTTAAAGTTTTTCTTAAACTTATTGTGGTCTCCATCCACATAGATTTTTTGAATATGTTTGATCATGTATATGTTTGTTTTTGTTCATTATGTGGAAAATAAATAAATAAATCAATCAATCAATCAATCATTATACAAAATTGCTAACTTCATATAATACTTTAGTTTTTCTTTACCTTTCTTACATCAACATAGCTGGGCCGTTACACTCTAGTCAAATTTGAAACCCTGTGCCCCTGGATAAGTTTGGCAACCACATTCATTGATCGCCTCTTTGAATTACAAAAGCGTGCTCTCCGAATTTGTGCAGGGGTATCATTCCCGTTTCAAATTACTGTTTAACAAATTTAATGTCTTAAATGTCTATGATTTGAATAAATTCCTAATTGCTATATGAATATAAATTCAAAATTATTATTATTAATATTTTGTTTTGCTCTGAGATTTAAAATCTCAATATATTCAATTTATATAGTGCTTAAAAAAATAGGTTGAATTACCTTCCTGTATTGGCTAGGGCTACAATAAGACCATCTCCATTTATTTTCTGGTTGAGCGAGTCGGCATCAAAATTCTCCATCTTATTGCTACCTTCTTCATCGTCACTACTGTTTCCCATTCTCGATTTTGTTTTCTGTGATGAGGTGTCACTTTCATCTTTAATGTTCATCACTGGCATCTACAGCGAAAGGAAAAAATTATTCCATGTTTTTACACTTTTCCAACTTAGACAGGACAACTTAAGACTTGGCTGGTTGGGCGTATACGGTAGTGATTTGGTCTTTCAACATTGATGTCGGAATTCCGAAAGCTACGCTGTCCTTTCGCTTATGTCCTTAGGCAAGACACTTTATGCACGTTGTCTCTCTCCACCAAGATGTATAAATGGTTACCTGGTAGGCATTGTGTCTACTATGCGCTGACGGAGCAGCGGCAGTTAAGGAGTATGTTCCAAAAGCATTATTTCGGATGACCGGGGGTAATAATGTGCAGGGCATAGATACATAGTGATTTGCTCTATGTTAAATGTATTTATTATCTATTACTACGGTAGTCTTTGTTAGGGAATGCACAATGCGAAGCTGGCTAAGCTAGTAATAGATTAGGTACGAGTCAAGCCTCAATCTTGCTTAAAATGCTAGAGTTTCAACCCGGCCTACTGAACATGACACTTATCAGGGAACAATTACAATAATAACTAGACTTACTCTTTGCCATAATGAAAAGTAATGTTAAAATTAGAAAAAAAAAAAAAAAAGGTCTACCTTAAAAAATAACCACGAAAACAAAAAACATAAATCATGAAGAAAATTAGGAGCGGTTTGGCACAGCGGTAGCGCTTTAGTTTCTCAACCTCAAGACCGGGGCTCGAACACTCGCTGTGCATTTCGTTTCTGAAATTATCTGGTATAGGACGTTTTCTTCTAAGTGGTCCTCGAATTCATACCCTACTCCGGATTGTCACAAAATGTAATCATTTTTTTTTAATGGACCATGACAAACTATTATGGAAAGTTTCCTAAATCCATTAATATGTTTCTTAAGGTCTGGGGCGTTAGAAAATAAAAATAAAATAAATAAACATACTAATTTCCATGTAACTTGGTTAAACGTTCCCGAAAGTTTCATTCAGGTAAAATTACCCATTTTTTAAATATCCGGTGTAGGTTGTGTACTTTTAAATCGATTTCAATAGTCCTCACTTCAAAAAAAATAAATAAATAAATAAAAAAATAAAAAAAAAACAACAACGTATTCTTACACATTAGTGACCTTTATATTTTAAATATTATTTTATTCTAGATTTTTATTATTATCATAATGCAAAAAATGATGTACATATTTAATTTTGACTTTAAAGCAGCACTGTAAAAAGTGTGTCACCGTACATCCGGTGGTCAGAGGCATCACCCATTTCCCCAGAGGTATGTTTTGGGGCAGCCACTATTGGGCTAGTTATGTGGACGTATATTTAATATATCAAGGCAGGCACAGGCTCAGGTCGACACGGAACTGAAGGGAACTCAACTCAACTCAGCTCAACTCGTCGACATGAGCGCTCCGCGCAACTGAAAGGAACTGAACGCAACTGAAAGGAACTGAACTCATGTCGACTTTGAGCAACTGAAAGGAACTGAACTCATGTCGACTTTGAGCAACTGAAAGGAACTGAACGAAACTGAAAGGAACTTGGCTCATGTCGACTGGCAACTGAAAGGAACTATTGGCTAAAAACATTTTCCCCGCGAAATCCCATCAACTGCAAAATGTCTGTAATGTTTTTATTAAGACATGTAATTATTTTAAAAAGTGTATCTACTTTATTTTTTTTTTTTTAAATGTCGACCGGCAACTGAAACAAATGGTGCCTGTTTGATTAGTCGACAGAATTGAGTTTTTAAAGATTTCATTTTTTTTGAAATCTCATCAACTGCAAATAAATGTTTGAATGCTTGTAAGATTAGACTTGTGGTTAAAAATAATGAAATTATTTTTGAAGTTTACTCTTTTTTTTTTTAATTTAGAAAAGTGTATCGCATATTGGTCTATTAGAAATTGGTTCATGCAAAATCTAGTGAAACAATTAAAACAAGAAAGGTCTTTTTCTATATGAAAAAACAAAAACAAAAACAAAACAAAAAACAAGTATACACGAATGCATTTTATACGTGACAATGTTTACATGAATCAGCTGTCAAATATGTTATAAAAATGTATTAATTTAATATTACGCGAATGAAGCAGCATACTTTTTATAGAATTCATAATTTAACACTACACTGCAGAGGGACGTTCTGAAAAAGAAATTTAGCTTTTTTTGACCTAGGCCTAAGCCTAGGCCCTAGATAAATGTTCTACTGTTAAAGAATGTGTACAAAACTAACTTTAAAAACAATGCAGACTCCAAAGAATTTTTGGATTATTTATAATTCGTAAAAATGGATTTTGGAAGCGAGATCTGCATGCCAGTTAGTTGTCAAGTCTTTTACTCGTCGTACGTAGAGTTAGACGTAGGCTAGTAGGCCTGGCATAGAAAGCCTGCACTCTAGGCCTAGCCTAGGCTAGCTAGAATATGGTAAGTATATGCTGTATTATTATTATTATTATTATTATTATTATTATTATTATTATTATTATTATTATTATTATTATTATTATTATGCCTAGCCTAGTCCTATTTGTTAATGTGTTAGAATAAAAATCTGGCTTATGGCTTATATTTTTTAAAATATAGAATAAAGTAATCTGCCATTAACAACACATTGTAATATAATATCTTTTTTCAGGTTATGCATCTTGATTACGATTAATATCAGAATCAACGTTTTCAGTTCCTTTGAGTTGCGAATCAGCATTTTTTCGCGCTTTTTTCAACTCAATTTGACTCATGTCGACAAATATGTGCGACTGTCAGTTTCTTTCAGTTGCGGTTAGTTGCGTTGAGTTCCTTTCAGTTGCGCGGAGCGTTCATAGTCCAGCAAACTTTGGTTGGTTGCTTTTTTTTTTTTTGCTATATTTTTTAAAAATTGGATATAATGTAGAGTAGACATAGATAAATCAAAAAATTATGTGCAACATTTTTTTTCATTAATGTGTGGGTGTGTGTGTGTGTTAGTATTATGTAACCATATTACATGCTGTGATTTATTTATATTTACCTACATCAGTGATTTTATAATATGCTAATGTTCATTATCACTTTCTTCATACTGTCACTCTCTGATGTATCAGAAACACTAGACAACAATGGAATGTTTCTCCTTTCGCTTCGCAGTTACACATCTCAGTACACGGAAGATTATTTCTCCTACACATGCATGTATTATTTGAAAATGTACTTATTGAACAGGTACATCTGCTAAACTCAGCAACTGCTTCAGGGGGATCCTGCTTTTCTGACAAGACAGGTCTTAATTTACCATCTTCCATAAACCAGCCAAGTTTGCATGGATCAGGGATTTCTGGATGAATAACAGTATCCTTGCTCCATATATTGGCCTGCAGATGTGCATGCAATGTATGCTGATATAAGGCTTCTGCAGTTGGTGGCAGCTCATCTACACCTTGATTGTTTGGCAGAGTTTTGAATCTTTTACATCGTAAAATTGAGGCATCTTTTAGCATATACTTTCTACGTTCATAGAAGACTACATAAAAACTCCTTGCATCCCATTCTCACATTTAATGATGGCATATTCCCTTTCCCAAGCTTGGCCAAAGCATGTAAACATGAGGTGGTGATTTCATAAACACCGTAAGGGCTGTTTTTTTCCAACACCATTTATATGCCCTGTAATAATTTTGATCACAACCGGTGATAGCATGAAAGCCTGATAGTGTCACTGCTCTTTCTGGTCCAAATGATCGTATATGGACTGAAGAGCCACTCTTCTTCTGGTTTCAGCGGTACCTCTCAATATTCACACGGCAACATGTCAAAACAAACACTCTAGAGCATCTTCCAACAACAGCTGTAAGCACACAAGAAGAAGCTGATACTCCTAATGATTCTCCATGGCATAGAAGTGGCCTCTGAATCTGGGAATGATACAGACTGGTTTGTATTGATCTTCAGTAGACTTCCACAACTTGGCATGAATACTGGAATTTGTGTAGTCTTCTCGGAACGAAGAAAGTATCTGCTAAAGATGCCGCAACTTTACGATGGAAAAGATTCAAAACTCTGCCAAACAATCAAGGTGTAGATAAGCTGCCACCAACTACAGGAGCCTTATATCAGTATATATTGCATGTACATCTGAGTAGTTGTGTAAGACACTTGAGGCTGTTTATTGAGAATGAAACTGTTTATTTACATATGACGTAAACAATAGAACAATGGATATGATATATTTATGAGGGTATTTTTATGATTTACAATTGTTTATCAATATAATTAGGCTGGTATAATAATTTGTGTAATGAGGGTATGGTGACGTAGTGTGGAAAGGCTGAATTTGATTGGTTCATGTAAAGTACGATTCTCATTGGCTGAGAGTGATAACGGTGACTTGATTATTTTTTGAATGACGTCATGTGCGGGTATGGTGACTTGAATATTCCGGTAGAATGTAAACAGGATTATAATTAATTTGATTGGTTCATGTAAAGAACGAATTTCATTGGTTGAGAGCGATGATGTGTTTGTTTTTTGAATAGTCCGAATCAAAACGAGAATAATAATGAAAATAATGATGACAAAAATAATAATAATAATGATTATGATAATAATACTGGTATAAACGTAAGTGAGGTCATATAATTTTAGTATTCGTTTTAGGTATATATATTTTGAAGAAATAGCGTTATTCGAGGGAAAAATATAAGCATGGAAACTGAAATAATTGCCCGAGAAATCAATTCAGCGTTTGTAGCATATAAACTAGGCAATGATATGGAATATATAGGGAATATGAACTGTAATTTTTTTCAAATATTGCGAAAAGATGTATAAAGCGTGCAATGAACATCTTTATAATTTGACAAGAGAAGTATCGCTTGATGCAAATGAGAATATTGAGATGTTTTTTAAAGACGTTTTAACAATGATGTTTAGTGATAACATTATAAACTGGGACCTTATAATTATGGTTTTTGTGTTTGGAGCGAAGTTAGCTGTGTTATGTAAAGATAGAAACAGAATTGATTTGAGTGATCAAGTAATACAGAGTGTAGACA